CACCCATCCCCGTGCCTGTTCATGGCCAAGGTTGCCAACGTGGCCAGTGTCCCTGTGTTCGTGGACGTGCCCATGCCTTGCATACCTGCTGCTGCTGGCACCTGGGACTGTCCTGGCACATTCCATTCAGTACTTGGTGCACTGCAGCCTGGCACAGACGTGGGCAGAGTCTGTGAGGGGTTGCCGGTGGGGGGCTCATCTGCACCCCTGCCCCCACAGAGTACCTTCCACTCTGCACGGCTGGCTGTGGGGGCTGGGCTGCAGCTGGTAGATGCAGTGCTGACTGGAGCTGTGCACAATGGGCTTGCCCTGGTGAGGTGAGAGCTGTCCCTCTCCCCTGGCTGCCCCACATGTGGGCAGAGGATGACTCTGACATGCCCCATGCCCCACTGTCACCCTCAGGCCTCCTGGGCACCACAGCCAGAGGGCTGCCGCCAATGGATTCTGCGTGTTCAATAACGTGGCCATAGCGGCCAAACATGCCCAGCAGAAACACGGACTGCACAGGTGTGTGCTGGGCTGGCTGTAGCTGGGGCCGGGCCAAACGGAAGGATGGAGTGGAGCAGGCTACTGAGAGACCCTCACCCAGCCCCTTCCCATCCTGGGCTGGGCTCCTGGCCTGGAGATGGGAGGCCCTGCCTCCCAGTGAGCCCAGTGCTGTCTGTCCCCAGGATCCTCATCGTTGACTGGGATATTCACCATGGCCAGGGCACCCAGTATATCTTTGAAGATGACCCCAGGTGAGCTGGGGGTGGGGATGCAACCCTTTCTCACGACCCCACTCTTCGGAGGTGGGGCACACAGCCTGGCCTGGGAAAGTCCTAGCCTGATGACATAGCTGTGTGCTCAAGGGTCAGAGTTCTGTGAAGAGCTCTGGGGCTGGGTCCTCTGACCTTTGACCCTGGCCGGTTATCTGCAGTGTCCTTTACTTCTCTTGGCACCGTTACGAGCATGGGCGCTTCTGGCCCTACCTGCAAGAATCCGATGCAGTAGCTGTTGGGCAGGGGCAGGGCCGAGGCTTCACTGTCAACCTGCCCTGGAACCAGGTGCCACCCTTCACCCTTGGCCCCTAGCCCAGGTCTCCCATCCTACAGCTCCGGGCCTCCTAAGTATAGTTCAGGGCGTCCTTTCAGGGTTACCCCCAGAGCCCATGCCCGAGGGGTGAAGACCCCAAAGCCCACCCTGGCCGGGCCCAACACTGATGCCCATCGCTGCAGGTCGGGATGGGAAATGCTGACTACATGGCCGCCTTCCTGCACGTGTTGCTCCCCCTGGCTTTTGAGGTGACTGCGTGGGGGGCCATCTCGATGGCAGGAGCGGTGGGGGACTCAATGCCCAGAGGAGAACAAGTCCTGGGGGAGGAGGGTCTCTGATGGGCCTACTGTCTCTCCCTCCCCACCTGGTCCCATCTGCAGTTTGATCCTGAGCTGGTGCTGGTCTCAGCAGGATTTGACTCAGCGATCGGGGATCCCGAGGTGAGGGCCTGGCCTGACCTGGAGGAATTCTAGGGTCTAGTGGCCAGGCCCCCATCATATCTGGCTCTGGTTCCAGGGGCAGATGCAGGCTACGCCAGAGTGCTTTGCCCACCTCACACAGCTGCTGCAGGTGCTGGCCAGCGGCCGGGTCTGTGCCATGCTGGAGGTGATTATGGGGAGCTGGGAGGGTCCAGGGGCCAGAGGCTGAGGTGCAACCAAAGGGGCCTTCTGCCCCAGTGACACCTCTGCCCTCCTCTCTCCTCCCAGGGTGGCTACAACCTGGAGTCGCTCTCTGAGTCTGTGTGCATGACAGTGCAGGCCTTACTGGGTGACCCTGCCCCACCCCTGTCAGGGCCCATGGTACCACATTGCAGGTACGAGGGGTAGGCAGCTGGAAAGGCTGGGGCTACAAAGCCAGGTCTCACCACTCTTGTCTCTCCCTGCAGCGCCCTGGAGTCCATCCAGAGTGTTCGGGCAGCCCAGGTCCCTCACTGGACAAGCCTCCAGCAACAAGGTCAGTGTGGCCTGGCCAGGTAGTGGGACTGGGCCTGGGGTTTCCACGAAGTGGCTGTGACTCTGAACCACCCTCTAGACTTGACCCCTGTCCTGAGTCCCAGCACCTGCACCCCAGAGGGGAGGCCCTCGCCTCTGCTGTCTGGGGGACCCGAATTCAAGGTTGCAGCCGCCCAGGCCACAGCAGCACTGAGCGCCCTTCTGGACCAGATGCACCTCCGCCGCACACCCCCTGTCCGCACAGCTGTTTCTCTGACTGGGCTGGATGCTGCTCTGGCCCTGCCCTCTGACATCCTCCATCAGGAGGGGTCAGCCCTGAAGGAGGAGACACAAGCCTGGGCCAGGTGGGCAGAGTGGGCCTGGGCAGAGGGGTGGGGCTGTGCCAGCCAAGCGCCCTTGCGTGACTCACCTGTGATCTGTATGTCACCCCATGTCTGTGTGTTCCTCTGGTTTTCCCACCACAGGCTACATGAGGCCCTGGCCAAGGACGAGCCTGTCAGTGCACTTGGGAAGGTCCTGTACCTTTTGGATAGGATCTTGGATGGGCAGGTGGGGGCACCTGGAGGGGCTAGGGGTGGCTGTGGAGCTGGGGGCAGGGCCCAGGACCTGCCCATGATGGGTAGCCTGTCGGGGGAGGGCTGTGGGGGTGCAGAACCATGTGGACATGAGTGTGGCCTTGTGCCCAGGACCCTTCCCAGAAGAGCCCCTAGGGACAGGTTCACAAGCACTCCCTCAGTCCCCTCAACTAAATGCTCTTTGGCAGAGGGGGAAGATGGTGATTTCAAGTGTAGTTTTAAGCATCTTATTTTCAGAAGTGCAGCAGTTTGGCCTCAGCGTGTATAGATGACATCCACGGAGACAGGGACCAAGAGAAGGGACTGATGGGTCTGTTTTCCTGGTTTTGAGGTTGCCCTCCACTGCTGTTATTTACCCCACAGGAGAGCAGCAGTGTCGCAGCCACCCGGGCCCCTGCTGCAGCTGCCACCCTGGACATGGCCATTCGGTGCAGCCTTTCCCGGGGAGCCCAGAGGTGAGCATCAGCAGGCTGGCCTGAGTCTCTGAGGGCATGGCTCATGGGCAACTCTGCCCTGGCTACCACAGGGGGAGGGCTTTGGGAATGGACTCCTAGTGGGATGAGTAGAGCCTGTCCTGGGACCAACTCTTCTTCTAGGCTTCTCTGTGTGGCCGTGGGACAGCTGGATCGGCCACCGGACCTTACTGATGATGGGTATGCCCCTTGCGTCATGTGTCCATCCAGTCCTGCATCACTGTGGGTCCCCAGGAGAAATGGCTGGGTGGGCCAGAGGGGCCCAGGGAACAATGCCAGGAGGGTCTCCAGCACAGAGGGTCAGCACTTCCAGCACCCCTACCCCCAAACTCTCCCGCACCTCCCAACTCTGGAGGGTGAGTGGGCTGTCACTCACACGCACGTTTCCATGGGCCCACTCTCCCTTAAAAGGAGGACTCTGTGGCTGAACATCAGGGGCAAGGAAGCTGCTGCCCTATCCATGTTCCACGTCTCCATGCCACTGCCAGGGGTGAGTGGTGGTGTCACAGGATCAGGCAGTGGCTGCTCACTGGCATCACCATAAGGGCCAGGCCCCTGGCCTTCACCCACCCTTCCTGGCTTCCTGATGGGACTTTTGGTGTGGCTGCCCACCCCATACTTGGAAGTGGGGCGGGCTGAGCTGGCAGGAGTGTCCCCTGGGTGAGGGGATGGGGCTATGCTGCTGTCCCTCTGCAGACTACTGGCGGGTTCCTGAACTACCTCCTAGCCCTGGTGCTGCCCCTGGCCTATGGCTTCCAGCCTGACCTGGTGCTGTTGGCACTGGGGCCTGCCCATGGCCTACGGGACCCCCAAGCTGCACTCCTGGCTGCACTGTTGCGGGCACCTGCAGGGTGCCGAGTCTTGGCTCTTGTGGATGAAGTGAGTTGAGCAGAACAGGTATGCTGTGGGATGGCAGGTGGGGAGAGACCAGTGACTCACTGCTTTCATCTCTGCCCTGGCCCAGGAATCCACACCCCAGCTTGCAGGAGTCCTGGCCCAGGTGCTGCATGGAGAGGCACCCCCCTGCCTGGGCCCCTTCTGCGTGGCCTCCCCAGAGGACATGCAGGCCTTGATGCACCTTCGAGGGCAGCTAGAGCCACAGTGGAAGCTACTGCAGGTGGCCGGTGAGACTGGGAACAAGGCTCCGGCTGACTGCTTGGGGCCCTGGGGGACAGCCCTGCTTCAGAGCTCCGAGGGGAGAGGGGCTCACGTCTTGGGACTGGGGTGCTGCCCTGAACCAGTGCACAGCCGAGCCACGCGGATTGTGCGCCTCTTCCCAGCTCCCACTTCACTGCCAGGACCCGGTGGCTTGAAATCGGCCAGGGTGGGAGTATTTACACCCCAGAAATGACACTACAAACCAGCCCCCCAAGAGCACACCGCTGCCTGCGGCCTCCGTCCTGAGTGATGTCCCGGCCACGGGGCGCCTGGGGCACTGGCTCGGGCACTGTGCCCACTGCCCGGACCTGGAACGCCCTCGGCACCCGCGTCCGCAAGG